GCTTGCTGGTATCCCAAAAGTCTGTTAAGCTTTGTTTGCTTGTCATTTTCTTATTTTGCTCCGCAAATTTAATGATATTCATTAATTTGTCTTCAAGCTTGTTTGTTCTTTATTTTGCCTTATTTACTCTTTCTGCTCTTAAATTATCCTAGTAACATTTTAAATTTATTTAATGTATTTCAGCCCCAGAATTTTGATTTTGTTCTTTTTAATAGTTTGTCTCTTTGTTGGAATTCACATTTTGTTCATATAACTTTTTAGAAATTTTTATTTATTTTTCTATCTTCCGTTTTAGTTCATTGAATGACTTTAAAAGACAGTTGTTTCAAATTTTTTTCAAGTTAAATTCAGAGGGCTTCAGTTCTTTAGGCTCTCTTCTTGAGAAGAGTATTATTATTTGGCAATGTTTTCCTATCTTTTTATAGGACTTCTAATGTTTGGTTGTGATCTGGGTATTTAAAAAAACAGCCATCTCTTCCAGTGTTCATAAACAAACTTCCTACGGAAAAGACCTTTGCTAATTAGCTAGGGTTAAGTTGTTTTGACTTTTCACTCCTTTTCTGGGGTTATGTTTTTGCTGACCTTGTCATATATGCATTTACTCCAGTATATTTGGCTGATTAATTTTTTTTTCCGAAGAGACTTATCTGCTCTTTCTCAGAAGCCTTCACTAGCTCTTGTATTTTTCTGCCTGTAGTCACTTCCTTCGTTGATTCCCCAACCATCCTGGCACTGGAGAACACATGCTGCTCTAATCTACTGCAGAGCCCACTTTTATTTCAAGTAGGATCTAAGCTAATACACAGACTATTCCATTGTTTCTTTCAATAATCCCGCTCAGATGAGAGAGAATTTAGTCCCTTATGCACATGCCCACACAAAGCAAGAATGGTGTAATTTTCACTTTTTTCTTCCGTCCTGAGAAGAAAATATTGAAGGAACCCTCTACACTTTGGAGAAAATTTCCACAAACTTTCTTACCCTCCGTTGCTCAATTTTGTATTGGTCAGTTTATTATTGTGGTACTACAGCTTTCTTACTGATTTTTAGACTTTTCCTGAAGCCAGTATCCTTATGATGTTTTCATTCATACGTTGTCATTAAATCGGTATCTCTATGTGGTAAGGAGGGCTTGTTATTTCCTAGTCTGCCATCTTGCTGACATCACTGCTCATGCCTTGATTATGCAGGAGTTTGTGTTCAGAGGTTCAGTGAGATGATTTCCAATAATATAGGAGCCAGCTGAAGAGACACTATTATATAACAAGTAAGGAGACTTACCTTCAAATTTTTAATATGGCAAAATTGTTTCAATTTTTTGTTTTTCAAATGTATTATATAATTAATATTGTAGTTAGTGAATTTGTTTTTTCTTTCCCCCACTAATATGATTGAGGTCAGACCTCCTCAATAGCTTTCTGCTAGCTTTGTTTTCCAAAACATCTCTTTCTACCCAGCCAGGGAATCATCATTCTGCCCCCATGGTCTCCTACATTGTTGTATTCTTGATAAAGTTTCATTGTATCTCTGTGTATGTGGACAGAAATAAGTCATCCATCTCTTCTTCATGGCCATTTTCAGGTTTTTCTCCCAGGTCTTCTTAAGAATTTTCATGCAGGTATCCTGGAATCTGTATGTAGCATTTTATTGAATACATGCCTAGAAATAGAAGTCATGGAATATTCAGTTTGATAAATTTCACAGTAAATATTTTAAGACATGTAAAATTGCTTTCTTCCCATGTCATCACACCGCCTCCCTTTGACTCTCTTCTGTTTTTGTCCCACAAACATAATGTACCTCTGGTAATTAAGCAGTTTAAGGAATGGATTAAGCAAAGTACCTCTGGTAATTAAGCAAATTAAGCAATGGATATTATAGTTCCTGCTAAATCAATTTATCTTTTTTTCAAAATTCAGAATGTTAAGTGCTTTAGTACAATTACATTCTCACAAACTTTCATGCACAGTGTCTGCTCCTGCATGTTCATTACTCCCTGCCATCTACTCTTGCTCTTCCTTTGTACTGGCCTTCCCTCACATGGTACCTTGACCTGACTGGATTATACTACTTCCTAGCATACTGACTTTGTGCTCCCGAACACGCCCACTTTCACAGGACTCCTTCACCCTCCACACTACTCTATGTAAGGTAGGACCCTACTCATACAGTAGAAAGCTTTTCAGGACATTGCCTTAATCTGTGTGTGCAGGGGGTGATGATTCACCTATCATCACCCAGGAGGGATGATGAGTAACGCTATTGGCAATATGGCTCAGCAATTTTATCTCCCTTGAAGTATTTCTTTCTATGCTCCTTGCATTTGCAGTGACTTAGTGTTTTTGCTACTTCTTAAGTGTACAATCATGTTTAAGAACATACCATGTGATGCTGCAGGCAAAGGATCAAATCCTATTTCGCTCCGTTTCTGTGTAAATTGGGTTAGATACACGAACACTGTGGGCCTGCTTTTCTTACTTGAAAAATACCGATAATTTTTTTTTTTTTTTTTGTCTTTTGTCTTTTTCCGTGTCCGGCAACGGATCGCAACCCTCAGTGTTGCCCCCGTACCGGACCGGGGACCGGCAACGGGATTGCAACCCTCGGCGTTGCTCCCGCCCCTCCCCCAGCCCAT